GGGTGTTAGGTGGACTCCGGGCTCATGGCCATGCAACAGAGGTTGGGCCAGATGACAGCCATGCTCATGCTGAGCAGTGGGGCTTGGCAACTGGGGGCCTTGTCTGAGGACCCACATTTTATATCCTCCTGACTGTGAACTCCTCTCCCCTGCTGGAATTTTGGTGTTAGATGGACTCTGGACTCTGAGCCACCCTGTCTCTCTGCTCACACCGAGTGCCTCAGCTGAGGACCCAAATTTTATATCCTCCTGATTGTGAACACCTCTCTCCTGCTGGGGTTTGGGTGTTAGGTGGACCTCATGGCCATGCAAGAGAGGTTGGGCCAGATGATGGCCATGCATGGCCAGTACTCCAGGGGATTGGTGTCAGGGCTCAGGGGACTTGGCAAGGTACTCTCTCATTATCACCTCTGCTGAATCCTCTGCCATTGCATGCCTGGCATCCCCACCGCCACTGACCTCCCACTTCACTACTGACAACTAGTAATGGGGCTTCTCCCTGGTTGGGCTCTTTGAGGTAGAGATGCCCCAGGCTGGCCATATGAGCACACAGCATATTGGTGGTGTCCTGGAAGGGCTTGAGGACACAGACCATTTGGGAGAGGGTCAGCCAGTTGTTGGAGCTGATGCTGATCTCCTCTTCCCTGTGCAGGATGGTGATGGAGGAGATGACATCCTGCATGGCACTCTTCTGCTCCACCAAATATGCAATCATGGTGTAGGTGGAGTTCCTCATCCCCCCCCCCCAGACTTGATGCTGCACAAGAAGTGGGTGGCCAGGACCCAGCAGGTCTTGAGCAAGGACCACATCATGAGAGGAGCAGTGCCCCAGGTGGCCTTGACAGTGCTCCCCAGCTCCAGAGCATCCTTCAACACCAGCTGAAGCTTGTGTGCCAGGCAGACGATGCCCTTGAGGCTCACACTCTTCAAGACTGCCAGCATGTTGGTGCTGGCATCCATGACCATGTAGCCACGGACAATGTTGCCACCACTCACTGACTCCCTCAGGCTACTCTGTATCACACAGCAGAAATGTTTTCTGCTATGTGATCTGCATCTATCTCCTGCACATGGGTCAGAACTACTTTGTAGCCTGGTGGCAGGACTGGTGGCAGTCCTGCTGGCTGCTCCAAAGGTATGCCGTGAAGTGTACTGTTCTGCGTTGTGCTCTAGAGAACTGAGAATTGACCATCACCACTGCGGCTGGCAAAAGGCTATGTCCTCCATAAGGGAGAAGCATCTCCACAGCAATCATCTCACCAACGTGGTGAGTGACTGCTTCCTGGGCCCTCCATGGAGCCCTGTTGACCACTTTGTGGGTGGCCCACCTTGATGTCCCACCCACAGCAGCCTGAGTGTGGGGAGCCTTTATTGGAGGGGCCTCCTGCTCCCCCTCCACTTCCCCTGCTGAGAGGGAGTGGGTCCTTCCTCCTGCTGGCCAGCCCTCTTTCCTGTGGCAGCAATGTAGTTGGGTCATGGTGCATCCTTTGCAGGTGGAGGACAGAGGGGGACAAGTGTTGGAGGTTTGCGCCCCTCCAGACATGGGTGTGGCACACCTGGCACTCTGCCACACAGGGGTCAATGGGGAGGGTGTGGAAATGTTTCCAATCTGTGGGCTTCCTCCTCACCCTCTGGATCACTGCTGTCAGACTCCTCCTCTCCAAAGAGTGTTAGCAACTGTTGGCGTCTCTGGGTAGTGCTAACAAGTCTTTTGCCTTTGTGGAGAGCCCCAGGAACAGACCAGAGGAAGGAGGCTCTGAGACCTCTGGTGATCAGTGTTCTCTCTAAACGTAGTTAGTGTGAGCTCTCCTTTTCACAATCTGCCTAAATTCATAATGAGTCACAGAATCAGCATTGCTGTCAGATGGCCATCTAGCCTCTGCCTAAAAACCTTTAAAAAGAAGGACAGCCCACTACTTCTTGAGGAAACCTGTTCCACTGAGGAACCACTCTGTCAGGAAGTTCTTCCTAATGTTTAGCCGAAAACTCTTTTGATTTAATTTCAACCTGTAGGTTCTGGTTCGACCTTCTTGAGCAACAGAAAAGAACTGCACTCCATCCTCTGTAAGACAGCCCTTCAAATACTTGAAGATAGCTACCATATCACTTCTCAATCTTCTACTTTCTAGGATAAACATACCCATCTCCTTCAACCTTTCCTCATAAGAGTTGGTCTCCAGAATCCACACCATCTCTTCTGGGGAGTTCTCACTGTCACTGAGCCCTGGCTGATCCATGACAATGGCTGGTTTTCAGGGTGGACTGTGTGGCATTACACCCCGCTGAGGTCCCTCTCCTCCCAAAACTCTGTCTTCCCTGGGATCCATCCTCAAATCTCCAGGAATTTCACCACCTGGGGTTGGCAACCCTATCTAGCAACCATCAGGAATCTGGGTGGGTTGGGGATATGGGGGGCACTGCTGGGCAGTGGTGTGACATCACTTCTGGCAAAAACCCCAAAGTGATGTCACAGCTCTCTAGGAATAGCTGGAAAACCTACTGATATCACTTTTGGCTGTTTTTTTAAACATTATTTTTATCCTAGTGATGCTGGGAAAGCCAGGGGCAGGGAATTCTCTAAGGATGGCAACCTGGGAACCCTACTTATAGGTTAGAAGAGGGGAGAACCATGTATGCTGCCCTGAGTTCCTTAGAGGAATAGACAAGAATAAAAATATTATAAGAACAGGCTAATCCCTGTGTTGATGGCATTTCACAGACAAGGTGCCATGAATGGGCACGCCTTGTTCCTGGTTGCTACTCACCTAACCTCAGAAGATGCAGATGCACAGGGCAGGGTCTGAATATAAGTTCTTATTTAATTTCTTTATTTGAACACTATATATGCCATTTCTCCCAATATGCACTTGAGACATTTCACAAAGTAGAACACTATAATGAAACCATAAGACAAAAGCTTAACAGTTATCAGTAATACACAAGCCACAAAGAAGCTAGAGCATTGAACAGCATAAAACAACAGCCTCAAAATGATACTCAAAAAAGTCCTCAGTCTAGAAGTAGGCCATAAAAACAGCACCAAAACACACACACACACACGCACAAAATCCCTCAACTAAAAGTCTGGATAAAAAGAAATGTTCCAATCTGGTGTCAAAACAGCAAGAAAGGTGCCAAGTGAGCGAGCCTTAAGGGGGAGAGCATTCCAAAGCTGAAGTGCCACCACTGAAAAATCCCCCTATCAGGTCACCAGCTGCCTCACCTCTGCAGGCAGGGGCACAGAGAGCAAACTGAGGTGAGGTTAACCAGCAGCTGAGCAGTACAGGAGAAAATAGTATCTTGGCCTCAAAGTGTTTGGGACCTTAAAGATAGATTTTGGTGGGTAGGCATGTTGGTCTGAAGCAATAGGACAAAGTTTGAGTCCAGTGGCTCCTTTAAGACCAACAAAGTTGAAAGGTAAGAGTTAGCACTTCATATGATGCCTGGAAACAGCCAGCCAGCTAGTGTTGTTCTTTCAACACAGGGGTGATATGATTCCTGTATGCAGTCTTCATTATCAGCCTGGTCACAGCATTTGGGACCAAGAGAAGTTTCTAGACATTTTAAAGAGACAGCCACATGTAAAGCACATGATAGTAATCCAACCCGGATATGATCAAAGCATGGATTCCCTTGGCCACATCACACTTTTCCAGGATAATGCCTATGCTAAAAAAAAATGCCACTTGCAAACACTGAGAATTTTAGGAGCACTATGATCAGTTGTTTTTTTAAGTTTCCTTTAAATGAAAAATGTAGAAATCTTTTGAACATTTATCTTATTTATTATTACTGTGGTCTATAGTACTGTGTATATCTTGCTGAAACTAAGATCCTGCTATGTAATTTTTGCATCTTTTGCCCATCTGGCATGTTAATACTTATGTCTTACTTCAGTTCTGTTTTTAGACTTCTGGTTGGTTCTATAACCCTAATCCTATTGCATTGTTTATTGAATGTCCCATCCTGTTGACTGTATTGATTCAGTCTGTGCAGTCCACCTTGAGTACAAGTGAGAAAGGTGAACTAGAAATAATGTAAAATAAATAAATGTACAATATAAAGGCACAGCATATTAGAAGAAAAATGGTACCCCTTAAACTATATATCTTCTTTCTTCAGCTTTGGTCAGAGAGGTGTCATCTTCTGAAAAGTGGATGCTACCCCAAAAATCCCCTGCAACACCATGAAGATTAGTAATCAAGACAGACTCACTGCAAAAAGGAAATGTTTGTTCAACTCTTGATTCCCCCCCACAACTGCCACGCCTATCAGATCACATCCTTTGAGAGGCGCCTCATCTGGAGGTGCCCTATTAATCACAATAATAAAAGGACTCGAGTCCTCACTTCACACACTACAGAAAGTCCTGAAAACTAAAAAGAGAATTATTCACACCCTTAATACGGTGACTGTCAGTTTTGAGAGGGTGACTGAAGGAGCAAGTAGTTCTGTGCAGTGATTTGGAATATTCATCCTGGCATCTTCTTTCGCTTGAGGTTCACCAACCCCAAAAGGTGAGGGTTTTTTTCAGAATTAATGCAAGAGTGACTCTCTTATTGGTACGGTTATAAATATTGAGAAACGTGTTACCACCTTGTGCATTATCTTTTAAAGATTTATTTACTAATGTTTACATATGAACATTCTTGAATCTTATAAAATTGTTCCACCTGATGGATGAGGGCGGTTCTAACAAATTTAAAATAATAATAATTTTAAATTATTATTATTATTATTATTAAATAAAATAATTTTAAAATTCCTACCCTAGAATAGCGCCACCAACTCATTCTACGCCTGACAACTGGAGACGGGTTGGCTCCGCCTCTTCTTGCGTGTATTGCGTGTCTAAGCCCCAACAGCCAATGAGAGGACGCGTTAGGCTTAGTTCCTGAATGTTGACAATATTGCTCCCGGCAGCACGTGACCGTGTTTCGTTTTTTGCGGCGGCCGCAAAAGGAAGGAGGCGCCGGTTCCTCGGTCGCGGCTTGGCAGAGATGGGCCCGGCGACGGTGCTTTTGCTACCCGGAGTCCTGCTGGGCCTCTGCTTCGGGGACAGCCTGTTCCCTAGCCGACACTTCGTATTTCAAAGCGGCCAGGAAGGCAGGGCTTTGGGGGGCTGGCGTCTGCCTCTCTCCCTAGAGCTGTTGGAGGAGGCTGAGGACCTTTCTCTGCTAGGATCGGAGTCCCTGAGGGACCTGCTCGAGTTGGAGCCAGAGTGCAGGGAGCTCTTGGCTGCCTTCACCAACAGCAGTGTGAAGTTGACAGGCTGCTTGGTGCGGAGCGCCCGTCCCGTGAGACTCTGCCAGAATTGCTATCGCCAGTTCCGGGAGATCAACGACCAGCTGGAGAACATCACCAGGGCTGTAGGGGTGCGTTTGCGTATTTGCTGTAGATCAACAAGCAGCCTTTTCTCTTGGAGCTACGGGGGGCCGGGTTGGGCCGGGGGCTGAGACAGTCACGTGTTGTTCCCCTCGTTTCCGGATCCAGCGTGTGGCCTGGGATTATGTTTTCTTTTATTATGTGTTACAGCAAAGGGGATCTGTTGGGCCTGATCTCAGAAGTCTGTCTGTCTGTCTGTCTTAATGCCGGTTCCCAGAGTGAGAAATCTCAAAAACGGTAGTAATTGCGTTGTGAATGGGGAAATAATTTGGGTGCCTCAGTATCTTCCCTGACTGATGTTGGGTAAAACCAGAATTGTGACATGGAAGTAGGAGAAGGGGCTGGTAGAGGAACAAGATGTATGTTCTCTAGGGTTTCCAGGCTCCAGGTTGGTCCTGGAGGTTTTCCAGAATCACGACTGATCTCCAGGCTATAGAGATCGGTTTCCCTGGAGAAAATAGCATCTTTGGAGGGGAGGAATCGATGGCATCACATCCCTGGTGAGCTGTGTCCCCTCTGTAGACTCCAGCCTTCCCAGGCTCTGCCCCCAAATTTCCAGGAATTTCCCGGCCCGGAGATGGCAATCCTGATTTGTTCTCGGAAGATTTTAGGGGGCAGAAGGGTTTAAAGCTGCTGGAAGGGGAGACTAGATGACCTGGAAACCCTGCTCAGCTTGGGGGACTGTGAAGCTGGTCAAGTCAAGTGCACTGTTTTTGTAGAATGGTTCGGTTGGGGTTTGAGAGGTGTGAGGGAACACCCAGAGGGAATCTGCACTTGAGGCTCAGTTCGGGGTAGGATTTTGACATTTGTTTTTGCCAAATGAAACACCCAAAACAGCAGAGTTGGCCAGCCACAGACGCTGGGCTGCAGACTGGAAGGTCTGTAGTTCGGCAGTTCGAGACCCTAGTACTGCGTGACGGAGTGAGCTCCTGTCTCTGGCCCCAGCTCCTGCCAACCTAGCAGTTCGAAAGCAAGAAATTGCAAGTAGATAAATAAGTACCGCTTCGGTAACAGCGTTCTGTGCCCCTTGGCGTTTAGTCATGCCGGCCACATGACCATAGAAACGTCTTCGGACAGCGCCGGCTCTTCGGCTTGGAAACGGAGATGAGCACCACCCCCTAGAGTCAGATTTGACTAGCTTTTGAGCAAGGGAAACCTTCACCTTTACCTTTATACCAATATTGGATTGTGATAAAGGTAGGCAAGCTGTGGAGTTTCAGATATCTGTTTCCACATAAATGGTGAGGTAGGCCTGCACAGGAGTAGTCACAAATTATGCAGGTCTGCATTTAAGATCATTGAGTTTACTTTATAGGATCTGAATTCAGCCAGGGGCGAGAAGAATCTAATCCCTGCTCAGCAATGAAGATCACTGGATTACCCTGAAACTGAAAACTCAGTTGTCTTATGGAAAGTGTTTGCAGTTCTGTTGACTGTTCTGTGTGCTGCATATGACTAGACCAATTGTTGCTTTGCATTAGCAACCTGAAAGGAAACAAGGGTGTTTTTTTCAGTGGGGGGATGAATCTGGGTCTGACTAATTCTGTCACAGTGTTGATGTGAAGTACAGTCAGCCACTTGTGGTTAAAAGTAGTTTGTCTGGCATAAATGTATGGAAAATGCTAAATATTCTTCTCTGCACAATCTGTAATTTTTGCTATCAGCTGTCTTTCCAAAAGGGTAAAAGGAAAAGTTGGGGGTTGGGCCTGAATCCCTACTTGGCTGTGAAACTTACTGGGTGATCTTGGGCCAGTTGCCTTCTCTGATTCTGGCCTACTTCAAGGGTTTATGATGAAGGTGAAATGGAGAAGGAGAGAAGCACATATACCATTCCGAGCTCCATAGAAGAGTAGTGGAATAAAAATGTGAGGTATATGTTATGTATATTATTTGGATGTATTACCTTGTGGTGGTAAGGAAACAAAATCCTTTGGCTTATCTGGATGTGTAGGAGTACCTGGCCTCAAACTTGTGGGGCTGTTTAAAATGTGATCAGAGTGCTTCCATGTAGGAATGTTAAGTGGTCCTGTCACTTCTTGCTCAGACAGGGCAGCAGAATAGTTCTTGATTATTTTTCTCTTCTTGACCATGAATGTTGATAAGGCATAAATCATACCAAGGGTAGGTGTCTAATTCTTGTTCATCATGTATGGACAGAAACCAAAGGATTTAGTGGCTTTAATGCCATTATAGATAGGCTATGTCTAATCTGTATTTTTAAAAATTGAAGTGCTTGTGTGTTGTATTTTGTCATACCCTTCTTCCAAGGAGTTTCATCCAAAGACATGCTATGGGCTCAAGGTCATCCAGTGAATGTCATTGCTGAGTGCCATTCTTTTTGGTCAAAAGTCAAATGTTCTAGCCACTGTGTAACAATCGCTTGTAATATGCGCAAGCAATTTAAATTCTGTGCCTTAAAAAATAAAACAGAGGTCCTGGGGCACCTTTATTCCACTATAAGGTTTGTGAGTCAAAGCTCACTTCTTCAGATGCATGAAGTCCTAGCCATTATTTTTTCCCCCTGTGCCAAGGATATATATAAATTTTGCAGATTTACCCAATATCTCTTGTTTTGCATATAGTTTATCTTGTATTCTGTATTATAGTGTATAATTGATTCTACTTATGTTAGTGATAAGCAAGGTCATGGGCCATACAGAGCACTGAAGCCTCACCTACAACTGCTTGATCATCAATTACTTCTGGGTTCTGAAATTTCACCAGTAATTGCTTATTCGAACTTGTTGTAACATTTATAAGGACTAGAAACGTGCTTCTTTGTTTTTTTCTTAAGGAAGCTAAGATTCTAACGCACCGGCCAGTAGGGAAATTATCAACGCGTCCCTCTCAGAGGGACGGTTCCCGGAGGCACTTAAGGAAACGATGGTCCGCCCTCTCCTGAAAAAACCTTCTTTGGACCCGGCCGAATTGGCCAACTATCGGCCAGTGTCCAATTTGCCCTATTTGGGCAAACTTATTGAGAGGGCGGTGGCGGTACAGCTGCAGGGCTTTCTGGATGACGCTTCCATCCTAGATCCCTTCCAGTCTGGCTTCCGCCTGGGGCATGGGACAGAGACAGTACTGGTCGCTCTTACTGATGACCTCCAACGGCATCTGGATCGAGGCGGTGTGGCGGCGCTGTTGTTGTTAGATCTGTCGGCCGCGTTCGATATGGTCGACCATCAGCTGCTGACCCACCGCCTCGCTGACGTGGGGATTCAGGGGCTCGCCCTTCAATGGCTTGCCTCTTTTCTCTGTGGTCGGAAACAAAGGATGGCAATAGGGGAACAGCAGTCCCGGAGACACCCCCTTGCCCATATTGCCCGGAGGTATGGGCTTGGGTGTCATCAGTATGCTGATGACACCCAGCTCTATCTGATGTTGGGTGGCCGGTCGGGCTCTGGCCCTGAAGGTCTGCACCAGGCGTTGCAGGCCATGGCTGGTTGGCTCCGACTGAGTTGGTTGAAGCTAAACCCGGTGAAGACGGAGGTCCTCGGCCTGAGTTGGGGCGGGCTGGGGTTGGAGCTCCCTCTCCTGACCTTCGATGGGATGCCTTTGGGGCCAGCGCTGGAGGTCAGGAGTTTGGGAGTGCTCCTGGACTCCTCATTATCTATGGAGGCCCAGGTGGCAGACACTGCTAAGGCAGCTTTTTACCATCTTCGGCTGGTGCGGCAGTTGGTTCCCTTCCTCGACCGTGATGACTTGGCCACCTCGAGGTTAGACTACTGTAATGCTCTCTACATGGGGCTGCCTTTGTCGCAAATCCGGAAGCTGCAGCTGGTGCAGAATGCTGCAGCCAGGCTGTTGATGGGTCTTCCTAGTAGGGATCACATCCGGCCTGTGCTGAAAGCGCTGCACTGGCTGCCGATAGGGTACCGGATTCGCTTCAAAGTGCTGGTTCTTACCTTTAAAGCCCTATATGGGGTCCAGTATACCTTTCCTCATATGTTCCCCCGCGAGCACTACGGTCGGGAACACAACATCTCCTGGTGATGCCAGGCCCCCAGGAGGCCAGGCTGGCCACTACTAGGGCCAGGGCCTTTTTGGTGGCGGCTCCTACCTGGTGGAATGAGCTCCCGGAGGAGATCCGGGCCCTGCGGGCCCTTGCACAGTTCCGCAGGGCCTGCAAGACGGAGCTATTCTGCCAGGCGTTTGAGTAGAAGCTGCCACTACTGTACCATCATTATCTGGCCCTGGAAGAAAGAACATCAGTACTACTCGGAACAGACAACGCTGAGTTGGGAGAGCAGCAGTTAATACGCCATCTTGTGGAAGATCAACTCGGAACATCTAGAGCACTATATTATATTGTAGAATGATTTTAAATTGTTTTAAATATGTTTTATATGTTGGCTTATGCCTGATTGTACGCTGCCCTGAGCCCGCGCAGCGGGGAGGGCGGGCTATAAATTGAATTTATAAATAAATAAATGTAAATAAATTCTAGGAAGCAGAATGTTGCATCCAGTGCTTCATTCAGCCCAATTTCTATGACACACACATGCATATGCATGGAATCAGCTTTAAAATGGGCAGGCATAATAATGGCTAGGAAGAGGCACGCCCTGGGACATTTGTACAGATCGATTGTACATTGTGAGGAGGAAAGTGGACTGTTAAACAGGAACAGTAGGAAGAGAAGAAGAGGAGATTGGATTTATACCCTGCCCTTCACTACCCAAAGGTGTCTCAGAGTGGTTTACAATCCCTTCCCCTTCCCCTCTCCACAACAGACATCCTATGAGGTAGGTGGGGCAAGAGAGCTCTCTTGAGAACTGCCCTTGAGAGAACAGCTCTGAAAGAACTTATGACTGACCCAAGGTCACACCAGCAGCTGCATGTGGAGGAGTGGGGAATCAAACCCAGTTCTCCCAGATTAGAGTCCATGCTCTTAACCACTACACCAAACAGAAGGGTGGAATTACTTGAAGGAGAGAAGAAGGGTGGAATTACTTGAAGTGACAGGTTGCAAAAAGTAACTGGTGTAAATAGTTCCTTAGGCTGTGGCCCATAAACCACTTAACTGTCTTCAAGTGGATGTAATGGGTCAAAATTAACAGGATTATATCAGTCTAAGCCAAGCACTTCGACAATGCTGGTTTGTAGGTTTGTTTTTTTGATTGGGCTGTAAGCCAAATTCTGTGCTAACATTTTCACATCCTCTTCTTCTGCTTTTGAAACATGTATTGGACTTTTTTGGGGGGTGGGGATGTAGCACCATGGCAGAGCATATGCACTGAATGCAGACGGTCCTGGCATCTTCCAGTTAAAAGGTTCTCAAATGGGAAGTTTTTGCAATGACCACTGCCTGTAAACTGCTGCCATTCAATATAGACAGCTCTGCAGTAGATCAACCAGTGATCTGATATGCTTTAAGGCAGGTTTTGTATGAGAATGCACTAAGAATTTGCAATGTACAAAACAACATTTTAACCTCTTTGTTTTACTGTGACATTTATCTTACCAGTTACGAGTTTCTTCTCATTTGCAGCAAGTCACTTGGGTTGCTTGCTTAGAATCCTCTTCAGCGGACCTCCGGTTGATGGTGGCACGCTCACGGACTCACCTCCCGGACCTCCCGGGGGTGTCTCTGTGCTCTGGCGGAAGGAGGGGGCAAGCAGGCTCGTAAACCCCCCAGGGGCCCGGCGAAGGGACCCTGGCCAAGGAGCTTTAAGGGGTAGCCTCTTCGATGGCGGAATGCCAGAGAATCGAGGCTCCCATCTGCTCCAGTGGTTCTTCCAGCCAAGAGACCGAACGGTACAAGTGAAGCTAACCGGGTCAAGCGCAGGAGATCGGGCGTGAAAAATGATGAAAGAAGCGGGGTTGGAAGACCAACTATGAACGTGAGTCAACTGAGGAACGATTTTTAATGGAAAAGACACTCCCTACCCTATCCCGTGGAACGGGAAAAGCGAGCGAGGGGGGGACGCCTCCCATGCGCATAAACTGTTGAGCGAAGGGGGGGGAGCAGAAGAAAAACGTGCGATTGCCCAGAAGTACTCGCCCAATTGAGTTAAGCAGTCAAGCGCATATTCAGAGACTTCAAAAAAAAATTCCCGAAAGTAAGTAAACGGGGGGAAAATGGCGAGGAAGAGGGACAGAGACAAAGAAAAACTTTCAAAAACGAAACTAGAGTCCCCGAAGCCGGAAACGACCAGTGAGATGGCTAAGGCTGTAGCTGAGTGCATGCGCCCTCTGCTGGAACAGTTAAATAACTTCAAAGAACAGATGTCTGTGGTAACATCCAATATTACAGCCCAGCAAACGCAGTTGTCTGTAGTAACAACTTCAAGTCCAAATGGATAAGGCCAATATTGTCCTGCGCTTCCAGGGGGTGCCTGAGAACAAAGGAGAGAATCTTAAAGAACTTATGAGTGAGTTACTTGCCCCAGTAACAGAAATAAAAGCGGAACTGCTACTCAACGACATGGATATGGCCTACAGGTCATATTCAGGATATATAAAGAAAAACAATCTGCCTGGGGGGATTGTAGTAAGATTCACGAAGAGGCACGTCAGAGATGCTATCCTGAAAGCAGTAGCGGCAACACCCTTGAAGGCAGAGGAGAATGCTGTTAGAACGCTAAAGGATATTCCATTTGAAGTAAGGCAACATAGAAAGAAATACAAAGAAATTTTGCTCTTCCTCCAAACAAATTCAATTGGATACAAATGGCTATTTCCAGAAGACGTAACATTTAAGATTAAAGAGAAGAAGGAAAAGATTGACTGTTCTTAAAGCTCAAGAATTTCTAAAGGAACAGCTGGGAAGGTCAGAGGATGAGAAAAAAAGAAGAGGACTGTAGGTCCAGTGGTGAGCTGGAAACTGGTACATCTGGCGAGGACTCTTTGTCTGAGCAGGGGGCAGCGGCCCCGAAAAGTCCCTATAAGCTGCGAAAGAGAAGGGAAAAGAAGAAGTAAAGGCTGAAGGACTCTGATTTTTGCCTTTGAGAACTTTGGTTCTGGGGGATGATTGGGGATACTGTTATTGGGCAGTTAAATGCAAACTGGGAGGGTAAAAGGTTTTCTTTTTTAAAGGGTTTGACTCAGTTCATAAAAAGAATAACGATGAGAAGACTTGATGTTTTAAATCTAGTTGGAGGGTCTCCTGTCTTGGGTTTTTAGTTAGTAGTGGGTATTTTACTTTCTCCCATATATGTAGTTCCCTTATCCCCTTTTCTGTTGTAGTTTTTTGTAGTTAAAAAGATCAATTAAAAAATCCCCTTTGGGGGCTCAAAAAAAAAGAAGGGGAAAAAAAGAATCCTCTTCAGCTATTCCCACTACAGGCATCTTGCGGTTGTTATTTACTCCTCTTTGCTGGCAGCATCCAGCATCCTGGACTTTTGCAGATTGATTTTAGGGGGAGTATTGCTTGAAAAGCCCTTTGGCTGGGGTTTGAACTTGAAGGCTTTTCAGGTTTAATCCAGCCTTTATGATGTTATATTTTTTAGTGACTTTCTGCCCTGTGGAATTCTTGAAAGCAGGAGAACCAGTTGCTAAGTGGCTATTTTTCTCCTCCTGGGTAAAATAAAAGAAGCATGATAATCTGTGCTTTACAGCTTTGTGCTGGATCTGCTTAAAAAAATGGTAAAACATATGTAAGGATGAATGTATAACAACGCTTTGTGTCTCTCTCACCACCTTTTCAGAACACCTCTGAGAGCAGCAAGTGTGCCAAAAGTCTCTTGATGTCTGATAGGCTACAGATTGTTGTGATCCTGTCCAAGTTTTTTAATGACACTTGGGAGAAAGCAAACTGTGCAAGTATGTGGTGACTTTCTTGCTTAATATTGACATTTTGCGCGTTTATGTGATAGCTTATTTTCAAGTGGTCTGCACAGGCTGTAAATAACGTATTGCCATATTGGTATTATCTTGGATGTTGGAAATGGTGGACTTTTTAAAACTAAAAAAGTCCAAAAATAACAGTGGTCAGCAGCTTATGCTTTAGCATTCTCGAGATCCAATTATGCTTTTGTTATATCTCATGCCCTCAATTTTTAAAAATGATTTGAAATGCTAAAATGTAGCTGCTTGATTTGTTCTGAAATTGCTTCTCTTGTTCAGTTATTTTATTTTTCCATTGTGGCCTATAGCTTATATGGAAAATAGATTTGAACCAGAGTATGTTGCCTTAAATTGTAAGTTAAATAACCTACAGTTTTTCATGATGTCTGAATATGGCCTCAGTTCAGACATAATAGGAAACCAAGATACAATTAAAATAACTGCATGTGGGCCATTTCATTCTTGCGAGTACTTAGATTGTCTGAATGTGGGCCATTTCATTAACTTGCGAGTACCTAGAGGCTGTCAAACCAGGATCTGAAACCACGGTTTGAAACTGGTTTATTAATCCATTCTTAACTCTAGTTTTGTATATGACATATGACCCTTGGTTGTGGTTGTGTTAAAATGAGGAACAAGCATAGCCATAGAAGAAATCAAGAACAGAGAAGAAGAGGAAGGAACAGAAGGTAAGAATGGTATATAGCAACATAGGAATTATAAATAAATAATAGTATATGTTATGCATATTTGTCCCATTGAACAACACAGAACTTAACTTCTGAGTAGGCATTCATGGCGTTATACTGTAATGCAGAAGGAGAGAGGAAGCAGGCTTTGTACTGGGACATGTACATACAGATCCGGTCTGATACCCAGCAACATTACCAAACCTGCCCAAATAACTATAGCATTGGAGAGGGAAACATTTTAAAATTAAATTGTGGATTAAATGCATGTTAAAGATATACTTTGCCTACTTTGTAAACAGCACCTGTTTGAACTTAAAAGTAGCAAATATTTCTCACTGTGTTCCTCTGCTTTCCTCCTTGAATCTTTGAATGTCCATAGTTTCCAAACTCAATCAGAGCTACTTTGTGCATGTTAGCTTGTTGGGAAGTTCCCATATGTTCAACTGGACTTACTAGTAAATGTGCATAGGCTAGCAAGTTATACTTGAGTCAGTGACTGGGTCTGAGAGAGGCCTCCACCATAAGACCATTAAGTCCAAATGCTAAAATTTCTTACCTGCTCACTTCCACCAAACTGTTTTTACTTTCACAGTGGAGGGGATATAAAAATGGGATGTACTTTTCTCCCAGCAAGAGTAAAAGCTGCTTGGTGAGAGTGATTTTCTTCAGGAAAAGAGAATTAGGGGAAAGTTTCCACCCCTCTGTGCTGATTTCTCTCCTTTCATAGGTCATATTAATTTATGTTTAAAATAACTTCAAACTTCCTAAAAAATAATCATGGCGTAACATGTAACATATTGTTTTATTCTTATTTGTATCTAGTAGAAGGTTTAAAACTGATGGGCAACATCCAACCTATGACCAGTTTTATGTGGCCTGTAGAAATCTAATTATCTTGAGAACCTCATCTTAATGTTGCTGTTGTATGTCTTTAACCCCTCCCCCCAAAAAATTCTAATCCATATGGCTGCAAAAATATTTTGAAACTGCCAAATGATTTCTGAAGTATATTTAATCAGAATTTATCAAATGTTACATATTCTGGGGTCAGTTTCAAAACGGCTCTTGCGACATGTTTCTGCCATTTCCTGTGCTCTGTCGGACAAAATTGCTGTGGAGCACAGCCTGTGTCGTACTGCTGCTTGACTTGAACGTTTTCTTGTAGGCTACCTCAAGTACACAGAGGGGAGGGATATGTATGTTTAAAGTATATAAAGGGCTTTCATTTATTCTTATTTTTCTAAAAATACAATGTTTGTTTATTGCTCTTTAAAAATCCAAGACTTAGTTTAAGGCTTGGAGATTATTTATTATTTATTAATTTTGATTTATATCTCGCCTTGCCTGCACAGATTATATGTTATAGTGTGACTGAGGAGCCTGGAAATGAAATAGTTGTTTCCTAAAGCCTAAAAGAGAATAATAGTAACTTTTTTAAAAAAAGGAAGATATTCTGTGGAGATTCCTTAGTGGATACTTGGAGGATGGTGTCCTCAAGCAACAGCTTAATTGCTTGTAAAAAGCAGGCAAAACTGGTTACTGGGGTTTTTTTTCTTTTTGGAGGTGTGTGAATTTTTGGCCTCAGTTCTTTTCTTTTTTGTAATCTCTTTATTGGATTTTCACATATAAGAAAAGAAAAAGAGATATACATACCACAATTTTAGCACCTAATTAACTAAATTATTTATATATTATTATCCAAATCACATTTGTTATAACATCCTTGCCACCACGTGAATCAAGTTCATCTAAATTGCTCCAATAGCAAGGTTTATACATTACAAAACACTCTAACTCCTAAACCTTTCTCAGACTAACAAAAATATACCCATGAAGCTATCTTATTTATTTAAATAATTATAATCTTATATCCTGTTTGCTCTTCTCAAAAGACCAGTTAATTAGAGGTCATTATATTTTGTACTGAAGAAATAACTTAAAGACCTTCCTCCTACCACAGTATCTGAATCATTGTTATTTCAATAAGAGACCCAGTTCTAGGTAGTACTAATTTACCATTTCTACCAATACACCAACATTAAGAAAGACAAACTTTTAACACATTATTTTTAACAAAGAAATTTCTTTTGGTACCTTTATGCAGACAATCTCTTTACCTAAATAGTTCACATCTTGCTATTAGTTGTTCTAATAAGTCAAAACAGCTATGTAAAAACATTCTATAATTGCTATTTTTTAATCTTTTAGAAAAATATTTTTAATAAGAAAGTTTCTTTTATTACCTGTATAAAGACAATCTCTTTACCTAAATAACTCACCTCTTACTCTTAATTGTTCTAATGGGGGGGGGGCAACAACTATCAAAATATCTTCCCCCCCCTCCACAATAGTAATAGATATCTTTCCTTTTATTTTCAAAGACCATTTATACCCAATAAGAAAACAAAAAGTTCTACTAAAACCGAACATAGCTTTTTCCTCTTCCTTCTTCCCCATCTTTCAGTAAACTCCTTTTTCTTTTCAATCTCCTGTAGATGCCTTGCATTTCTGTACTGATAACTTTTATGGTCCAAATCTTTTTTCCATGTTTCAGATAGCCAGTTCTCAGTCTTTTATTCACGTTGGAATTCTTTACACCATCCTTTTCTCCTCTTTTACACTTTTCATTCTCATTCTTTTTTCTCCCTCGTACTTTTGATGGGTGCCGTTTCATTATCTTTTTTTCCAGAAATAGAATTTTTTTGTTTCTTTTAAGCCATATCTTGGAGTTGCGTTAATCTCCAAGGTCTCTCTTTCCGTATATACCAGCTGATTAGCCAGCGGCTCTCTCTCCTCCTCCTCCTTTTGTTTTTTTATAATATATTTATTAGGTTTTTTACAGTATAAGCCTATATTGCACATACATACAAAATCAACAAGACTATCTGTAAAATCCCTAAACATCACTTTACCTTCACAGCAGCACAGAATAACATACCAATTACCCATATTATAGAACGTTTTTGCTCTTATCTTTGATCTTACTATCATATCTGTACTGAATATATCTGTATTAAGTAGAAACTTCTAGTTCTATTACCTTTAAAATTCTTATACTGTCTTTTCAGATAAGATAAGAATTCATATCATATCAATGATGTAAAACATTCATTTTAGCTTATTGTAAATTATCTTCTCCTAACTCAGTTCTAGCCCATCCTCCAGTAGCCTGTTAGTTCCTTATATACAATATAAAGGTAAAGGTAAAGGTTCCCTTGCTCGAAAGCCAGTCGAATCCGACTCTAGGGTTGCGGTGCTCATCTCCGTTTCCAAGCCGAAGAGCCAGCGCTGTCCGAAGGCGTTTCCGTGGTCATGTGGCCGGCATGACTAAACACCAAGGCGCACGGAACACTGTTACCTTCCCACCGAAGTGGTACCTATTTATCTACTTGCAATTTCTTGCTTTCGAACTGCTAGGTTGGCAGGAGCTGGAACTAGAGACGGGAGCTCACCCTGTCTTGCGGCACCCGGGTCTTGACCTGCTGACCTTCCACAGCCTGCAGTTCAGCGTCTTAACCACTTGAGCCACCGCAGCTCCACACATATACAATATAGGGACATAATATTAAATTTTTATTTCGTTTTCTTTTATTACCCTTTTACCCTTTACTCAATCTTACATCCTTTGAATTAATTTAACATTTTATTGTAGCTTTTATATCCCATTCCACTTTCAAGTTTGCTCTACTGCTTTTTAATTACATTTTTTATCCCTTAGGCTACATCAATATCCTATATTTATAAGCTGCCAAAACTTCACCCATCTTTATTCCGCCTGGAATTAATCTGACTCCATCATAGTCACACCAAGTTGTTATCAGAGAATATACACAACCTACTCACAACACAACTAAACTTTCTTATATCACTAAACATAATCAAACATTCAACAACACCATTATTATTATTAACAGTTCCCTCCCATTAATTTACCAATTCATTGTTTTATAACATAGACCCTTTTAAATATTTGACCTTCTCTACCAATTTATGAAAGACCTTTATATTCATTTTAACATTACAAACTCTTGTTGTTATTCAAAGTTCATTATCAGAAACCTATAAATCATATAAATTTATTGTCCCAAGTAATTAATATTCAGTCCTAACCTTCCAATACGTTTAGACATATTTAATTTGTTTTAACCATTTCAACCACCCTATTGTATCCTAATCACCACTAATAACAATATATATATAAATAAATACATCCAACAAACAAGACTATAATTAAATAAATAAAGTAGGTTTTAGGTCATTTTTCCAATTGATCCTACATCTGAAGAAAGCTGGTCTTTCTATTTTTTGTATAGTTTATTTTTCTTCTTCCGCATCTGCATTCTACTCTTCTGTCTCAGCCTTTCTACATGTCCTCGTTTTTTGCATGTTCCTTGATTTCCACGTCTCCTTTCTCTGCTTTTCGGCCGTTCTATTTTCCATAGCTTGCTATCTCCTTTACTTTTCCAAATCCATCGCTTCCTTCTTTTAATCCTTCCATCCCTCCCACTTCCAGTTTTTAGCCGTTTGTTTTCTTTTGACAGTCTTTTTGGCGGTCTTAATTTAACTCCAGATAATTTTTTATTTGGTCTCTTTTTTGCTCTTTCAATTAACAAGTGTTTAGTTTCTACACAGTCCACCACTTGTATATTTTTCAAGTTTTCTTCCTTAACAATATCCCTATTCTCTTTTTGCCATTCCTCTGGAGTCTTCTTGGCAATATTTTGTTCCTGTTCTTCTTTTTTTCCTATTTCCCTCTCTGTATTTTGTATTTTCCCCAATATTTTTTTTTACCCGAACCCTAGAGTCGGAGTCGACTGGCTTTCGAGCAAGGGAACCTTTACCTTTACCTTTTACATCTGACCAACTTCCATATTTTCATCCAGCTCCTCCTCATTTCCCATTGTATACTCCATTTCAAACAGACTCTCCAGTCCAATCTCTTCAGCATCCAATCACAATATTATCTTTTGTTTCACAGTCTATTTTCATTTGTCCCCCTTTTTCCCCTTTGCCGATAAACAGAACCAGCACGATACTGAGAACAATAATTCTCCCCCCCCCGAAGTAGGAAAAAAAACCCTTGCAGTTAAGTCCGTTTGCCTCCCGGCCGCTTTCCTTTTTGAATTTGGACGCCTTTATTTAGGGGGATTCCTTCCCTTCTAACACTTCAAAGCTCACCACCTCTTCTGTGTTGCTGCAGTTATAATCCATTTTCAAACTCCGGATACTTAAAAAACGGATGGTCGCATCTAAAAAGAACATGGTGGCCATGTTCTTCCCGGTCGATCGTTTCGGCTTCAGGGAAGTTCTGGTCACCCCCCCCCGCCTTGCTGATTGCGGGGTGTGTGTGCTGGTCGAGCTCTCCCGACGATCAGGAGACTCGAACAAAACGAAAGTGGATCGGGCGGGCCGGAGCGACCCGAGCGTCTGCCCGTCGACGCGCCGTACCGTAACTGTCTCTCTCCTCCTCCTGAGAATACTTGGAGTCCTCAACAAAACTCTGAAAACATTGAACACAATCTCCTTCTTTCTTCGTGTCTGGACTTGTATTTCTGTAATTTTCAACCAGATTATTACAGGCATTTTTTACCACTTGCGTAATTTCCTTCTGCAAGAAATTCCGAAATTGTTCCCAAGTAAGGTTACAAACTAGAATATCTGGGTCTAACTCTTCATTATCAGCTTCCAGCTCCATTTTACAATGCAGCCACACCTGTACTTTCAATTGCCAACAAGCTTTTGCATGTATTTTCCCTTAGTTCCCATCCGACTGATCTTCAGGTTTTAAATTCCAATCAACAGTAAGAGCTCAAACAAGTTTAACTGTCCCACAAATGATAGCAGTTCAAACAGGATAGTAAATATTTTTCTTACCCCCACCATTTTCACACAGACTTCTCCAAACACTTCCAAGCCATTTTCTTATCATTGGATTTAATTCTTGGGGGTATTAATGTCCCAAATGACTCATTTTTATCTTGATTCTACATAGTATAATATCTTCATTGCAATATGTTTCTTGTTTCATGAAATATATAAGTTAAAAAGGCTGGTTGCTACTAAGAAAATCATGAAAGCCATGTTTTCTCCGCTTCTTCGCTCCTGCTTCGGGGCAAAACGACCACTCCCCCGTGTTTGCCTGTCATCGAGGGTGACCAAAAAATCCCCTTGCTGCTCTTCTTCCCTCCAGGAAGTAGAGCAGAGCCCCTCGCTAAGCAAAGGGACCCCAAAGGAGCAAAGTGGAATCGGACGGCTCAGGAGCAGCCTGAGACACGTCCGCTCGTAGCGCCGTTCTGATCATTCCGGCCACAGTTCTTAAAAATGCAGTGTTCTTTTTAAACTTGTCCCCCTCCCTTTCTTGATCTACTCTTTTGCACCAAGCTTCTTTGTGGGGTCAGGTGAAGCACCACTTATGTTGCCTGAAAGCCCAAGGGTAGCTCTAAGCCACTTCACAATGAACTCCATTTCTTCTTTCATACCGTGAAGGTCAGTTAATTCAGGCACAAATTGTATAACCTGAAATGACATGAAGACTCCCACTGAATTACAAAGTATCATGACCTTACTTGAAGAAAAGCAACATGGGCAAGATTTTGAAAGTGGAGCAACAATGCTTGACCTTAAAGGTACCTTTTGGAAGGAGACACTGGGGATATAGTGACATGCCTGTCATCTTTCTCTTTCACAGATTGTTTAAAGAACAACAGTGAAGGCTTATCCAATAGTACAGTGATGTTCCTGGCCTTATTCAATGCATCGTTGACCTGCTTTGAACACAACCTCCAGGTACTTAATGCTGTTTACAGAGGGGTACAGTTGAGTCCTCTAATTGTGTAGTAAAAACACCTTTATTTTTTCAGAGCAAGATGCGGCAGATACAATTCCCAAACTGTTATGCAGTTTAAGCAGGTAGAACAATTATCTATAAAACACAGGTGTTCACCACTGAGAGAACAAAATGCATTCTAATTAATGTTAACCTCTGTTTCATGTGCAATTATGGTGCTGTTTTGGTCTCACAATAGTTGGTAATTATATAGGAAGAGTCGTGTAATCTCTGCATATAGTAAATCACTTTCCTTCCTTATTCTGGGCCTTGTCACCTGATTTAAATACATTGGTCTTCTGGTATTTTGTTATAGCATGGATTTAGCCATAAGGGCCTAGTTAATTGAATACATTTTAAACAGTTGGTCTTTTAATATGTTGGAATAGGAGACATAGTATCTCCTTTTGTATTGTGAAGATTTACATTTTTCCCCCCTGGAAAAGTAGCCCTTTACTTAGGTATGATTGTGCATCTGTTACACTGGTTTTAACTCTAAATTTGATTTAAATAAATGATTTAATTGGGTGCAGTGGAGTTTACTGCCCAGAAGGGTGATGTTAAGACTGCAAAGCCTCAATCCTCTTGCCCTGGAATGTTTTCACTGGCTTTCTTTTAGGCTGCTGTGTAATTCCAGCTCAGTTGTGGGTGCTTTTCCTCATACAGCTTTAGCTAGCGATTAGCAATTTGGGTGCTGGAGAAGACTCTCGAGAGTCCCTTGGACTGCAAGAAGATCAAATCAGTCAATCCTAAAAGTAATCAACCCTGACTGTTCCCTGGAAGGCCAGATAATGAAACTGAAGCTCAAATACTTTGCCCACCAAATGAGAATGGAGCACTCACTGGAGAAGACCCTGATGCTGGGAAAGATTGAAGGTCAAAGAAGACGGGGATGGCAAAGGATGAGATGGTTAGACAGTGTCATAGATGCAACGAACATGAAATTGAGCCAACTTCAGAGGACGGCGGAAGACAGGAAGGCCTGGCGGGATCTTGTCCATGGGGTCGCAAAGAGTCGGACTCGACTGTGCGACTGAAGAACAACAACAACAAAAGCAATTTGGGAATAATATTAATCTGTTTTTCAGAGTTAGTTTGATAATGAAGAAAACACTGCTGATAAAACTGGAAAGAAAACAACCCTGAGAGAGACAACAGTGGACTTAGGGAGTGGGGGGAACAGGTTTTTACATTTCATTAGGATTGATCTGTGAACAGTGTTTTCTCAGTTTGTAACCAGAGTTTTTTTGAAGCTTCCTTGCCTGATTGCTGATATGCGTAGGCTTGCTGATCGTGGCCACAATCCAAAGAACTGTTGTTTAATATTTATTAAAAACATTTTCATGCCGGGTTTCTACTCGACCAGGGTCCACAAGGTGATGAACATTAAAAAAAAATATTTTGAGTAATTAAAGTATATTTAAAATTATAAAACAATTCAATTAAAGCCACATAAACAAGCAGGCCAGTAACTATTTTTTGAGGTACACTAGACAAAAGAAAAAAGCAGGCTGAAGATCTTAAACGTGCCCCATGGGATGTAACATAAAATCCTTGTTTCTTTGAATTTTCCATCAAGACACTTTTAAGGTGTTTAGCTATATGATATTATGACAACACTCTCCCCATCTGATAATGGTGGGGGAAATTAACAAATTTATTTCACAGTGAAATTCTTGTCCTGGGGGTCAGTGGACCCATAGGAATAGCATTATGGCAAAGTGAGGGTTGACATTGGGAGGGGGGAATTTACAGAAATTACCGCCCTCTCTTCCAAACATTAAAGAGCCCATAAGACTTCAGAACTACATGATCGGGTGTGTGCCAGTGTCTCCCACAAGTATAAGACATAAATTGAAACTTCACCTCTATAAAAGCCTATCTGATGTGGGGGGGGGGAAGTACATTCTTGTCCATATTCTGTTACAATTCTCTTTAAGTAGCCTATACCATCTGGGGAAGCATGTAGTTTTATCAGATCCATAGCATACATAATAGCATCCTGTCTAGAAATGTAAAATTTTAGACCTTACAAAACTTTTTCTAAAAATTATCTTACGCGGATGTTGTTTTGCCATCCTATAAACTGTCTTGCAGCATTGACAGACGTAAGCATCTCTTCAGCAATAGAGGAAAGGACAGCCACTGCTCTAAGAAGTGGTGCCAGGTGGTAGAGATAATAAACTTCTTAAAAACGTATTCTGGAGAGTCTCCAGCTCAGCATAATTCTCCACACTCCAGATCTCGGAACCATCTAATCTTGGATTCATATTGCAGAGTGCTTGGAAATTCTTGATCCCTTTACAAAGTGTTTTGCCATTCACCTTGGTGGATGGGAATGGTTGTGGGAGAATCACAAAGGCAACTCCTTGCATGGTATTTTGGATCCTTTGTCCAACCTGGTTTGAAGAATGAGTATAACCCTCTCTGTATCGAGAATCAGTGGCAAAACTGAAGGTAACTAATGGAAGTCAATTGCACCCTTGATGTAGCTAAAACTATAAATACATGCCACTGTTTCATCTGACAGATGTACCTTAGCATTAGACTCTTTGAAAATATGCCCTGTTATTTTCTGTAAAAACGACTACCCAGTAAATGTGCTTAACACATCGCTTCTCGGCCTTTTGGCTAAGATCAAGTGTAGTAGCTTAACACATCAAGTACTTATTATGTTAAATATTTATTATTAATGTTGGTTACCTTTCAAAATTTTGTGTGTGTGTAAATGATCCTGGCAGCAACTCTGTGTCTACAAACATGTTCCTGATAATGGAAAAACATAGATAATTTCAGTACACATAGATAATTTGCATGCACATATTTTCCCCCTTTTGTTGATCAAAGTATCAAATGTTAAAATGTGCTGTTGAGATGGCTTCTGTAACACCAAAACAAACCACCTATTGTTGATGCACAGTCATTAGCACAAATGTTTTGCATTTATGCTGGAATAGTCAATAGCTATTGAATAATGAGTGTTGTCAGCAGGAGGTAAATGGATCTATTGGCAGCTTGAAAACGTACAAATGAAGTTCACCCAAAGACCTCCAAATAAGGCTCTTCAGGAAGGTTCTATTTAGTGCATTCTTCAGTACAATATGTATCACTCGCATACCATCCTTGCCTTTTCTGCCTAGTTTCCTCTTTGCAAATGTGCTTACCTGATTTAATATGATACAGCCTGTGCGCATCGAGTAAGATCAGTGTTGGAAATGAAACCATATGGTATGCACTCACACAGCACTGCCATTGTTGTGATATTGGAATAACGTTGCTAGCACTTAATATGTAATATTGTATTGTTTTAACAAATTGTTTTAATGGTTTTAATTATTTGATTGTTGATCTGTGTTTTATTTTGTGTGCGCCGCCTTGAGCCAGCTCTGGCGGGGTAGGGCGGGATATAAATCAGAATATAAATAAAAATTAAAAATAAATACAAGGCACTTCCATTAACAGTGCAGCAAAGGGGTTTTCTGTACTTGCATATAGTATATAGTACTTTAACACCCTCCCCTTCTTATCATTACTTCCATTCCCTTCTTCATTTTAGAGTGTGAGACATCAGCAAGGGAGGCAATATTTAGTCTGTGTTTTGTTTTGCAGAGTACTAGGTTTCTGAATAGTGGTTTATTAAAACCAGTAATCCTGCTTGCTTTTTTGAAGTGGGCTGTTTAGATATCTTGTCCCTAAAGTATCATATTTGCAAAATGGTTGCTATATAAATGGCACTATTTTAGCGGTTGCACACACACCCACACACCCCTTTCATTTCCTTTAATGCATTTGTAGTCAGGTAGAACGAGACTCCTTGGCTGAATAGTGCGAACTCAGCTGGGTCAGTTCCAGCATCTGCTGTGGGGAAGGGTCTGGCTTTCACAGATCCTTGCCTCCACCAGCTGTTTATAGGCTCTAGATGGGATATGCAGGTTTGCTGAATTAGGGCTTTTAAGAAACCTTGTGGGAAATAAAAGTTATGTTTTATTGTCTTTCTGCTTCTATTATTAGATATAACAGAGGACAAGTGGTTCTGGTGTACTTTGAATTCACTGAGATACTTTTGCCTGAAACATAAGCTTAACTTGATGTAGTAATTTACCACGTAGATTCTGTCTGTACTTTCTCTGTGGATTTATCCCATATAGCTGTCTGCTTATTTGTTTTTGCTCTCTTGCCCCCCTTTTTTCCTTTTGTTTCCTCTCTTTCATCTGTCTCTTCTATTACGCTTTGCTTGATTCACTTGCTGGTGCCTGGCTGGGACAAGTAAGTCAGGTCAGGGAAACCCTGACTTGCCTTCTTAAAAAATGTTTCATGTAGTTTGATTCTGAAACCCACATGGATTCAATGCACCCCACACATACAATTCCAGAGAATAGACCCTGAGGAAGAATTAAGAGATCTCTGGCCATTTTAACTGGTTTAAAAAAAATTCTTATACATGCGAATGCATTTTCACCAACATCCTTAAATACATGAAAATGAGCTGATCTGCAGATTAGGTTGCCTAAGTAAAGCAGCTTGGACAATTTACATGTATGCTGTTTTCTTGATCTAGATTATTCATCAGAATCAGGTTTACTTTGAAATCACATCCTGGAAAAAATATAATTTCTTGTTCTACCTCTAGGAACAAGAAGGCAGTCTTGTAAACAACTATACACAAGTGTGCAAGAACTGCAGTGTGACATATAAAAACCTAAATGCTCTGTACAAGAGGATGCAAGAGAGCAAACAGCAACATGACGCTGAAGAACAATCTCATTTGTGCATTGATGTGGAAGATGCAGTAAGTATTTCTTTTGAGCTGTACCAGCAGCCATCCCAATGGTGCTTACTTGCAGGCTTTTAGTTCTCAGAATTTTAATGCTCTGCCTTTCAAACAAGTACTCAAGGCAGATTACATTCATTTTTTAAAGAAAACCTAAGTCACATAAAAATAGCAATCAAATACAGAGTGCTGTTTATTTGTTTAAGAAGAAGAAGAAGATAAGAGATTGGATTTATGCCCTGCTGTTCACTTGGAGTCTCAGAGTTATTAATCTCCTTTCCCTTCCCCTCCCCACAACAGACACCCTGTGAGGTAGGCGGGGCTGAGAGAGCTCTGAGAGGGAAGGGAAAGA